GTATTTATACACTTTTCAGAATTATTTGAGCAAAAATAAACGATGTCTGAACCGTCCTACCTATCAGCAAATAAAATGTTCAGTAAAATGTTTATAGGTTTGAAAATTATTTGGGCTACTTTAGACGACAAATCGATATTTGGGCTACTCAGATTCGATTGGGCGATTGAGACTGCTGGCATCTGGCAACTGTTCGGTTATTTTATGTTCTGTTATCTTCTTTATTGACTAAAATTGTAAGAATTTATACATCTAATATAGGTATATCACCTAGGAAGATGACTGAAACTACGGACATTTCAGCGAACAGGTTAGTAATCAGATACTGATACTTTGTATAATAGACAATGCATATGGACAATAGTTGACAACTGAATGGATCCCAGAAGAGCGTGTCGTCCGAGAGGCAGGCCGAAGAAGATATGGCGGGATGACCTCGACGAGTACGATCCTAACTGGCCTATAACATCAGCTGACCGGGAAGTCTGGAAGATAAGAGGGGAGGCCTTTGCCCAGCAGTGGGACACTTTAGGCTTATATAATAAATATGGACAATGTCCCTAATGTGTACGCTTTTTTTCGGTAACTTTGTTCAGGAACATTGTTCAAAATACGTCAACATTGGGAACATTCTCCAGATACTTTGTGTCATATAAAAGTTCCTGGGATTTTGTCCCCAATTAATACCCACCTTTAAGATAGAGATCTGCACAATAATTTTTACTCAAAGGCAGTTAGAGGGCATTCTGTTAAGTTATTTTATTATTTTTACAGCAATACATTTCCACCCGAGGCAGATGTGAGTCAGCCTGGAACACCTCTTCATGTGACAGTCAAAATTGTAAGTTCTCTGTACAATTTTTTCAGGGATCTTGTAGCTTTATAATGGTGTTTGTTTTAAAATTGCTCGTTTCTGAGTTTATCAAATAAATATAATATTACTGTCATTATTTAAAAAACTCTTAATTCCAGGAAGAAGTAAACCCTGATGGAAGAACTGAAGCAATCATTCAACCAGAAGTGAATGTAATTAAAATATCAACAATGTGTCACAGACAGTTACAAGTCAAGTTGAATCGTCTACCAGATTTTATACTACAGCTGTTTATCGACAACACTTATAAGACTTGGCCTATGCCTTTTATTGCAGAAGCTGGTAAATGAGACATAATTTATTCTACTAAAGATTTTATCACGTAGTCAATGTGGCCACAAAACCAAAACTGCATCTCACTCTGTCACTTTGTTATAAAGATGGAGACACCGGAACAGATACCTACAGGTTGTGACTTTAATGGAGTGATGTTGCATTTGTACTAAATCTCAAAGAGAATATTTATAGTCAGGGATTTTAAAAGAAGAAAGGCATTTTATTATTTCAAGTGTGTTTCTTATTTATACTGTGTAATGCCGGCTTACACTGGCATCACCCCTTCTTTTTGACATGTGTGACGTGAAACTGGAGGATTTAATTTGTATTACAGTTTGAGGCTTTTAGGCAACTGGCTGACAACCTATATTGTGTATTTAGTGGTGATTCTGAAACAGCCTTATAATTATGTTTTTCAGACATGCACATATACTTAGGCATGATGTGTGTTTAGGAATGTATGTGATATTATTTGCAGATTTGGGCCTTCATTCGGAACTAGATATTAAGTTTGAATCTGAGGAGCTGAATGAGGAGGCTCTCAACTGCAGCGAGGAGGGTCAAATAATACACGAAGATGAACAAAATGAAAATTCTAAAAACAAAAACAAGTGTACAAATGCTGTAGATGAGGACACTACCGCAGCTGCCGCCGGCCAGACGGTGAGTACTGCGCATAAAGGTGAACGTACATTTGTCAGCACATTCGCACCGTACCCGCCGCCGTCTCAGCTCCATAATGTCCTTTTCTCAAAATGTAGAAGGGGTGAATCAGCCCATAAAACTGAACAACTTTCCCCAAGGGACATAGGTTGAAATGTGAAAAAAAATGTTGGATGTCCTATGGCTCCCACCTAAGCAGGCTATGCCTATCTATAGGTATAGGGTGAAATTTTACTAGTGACCGATAGCGAAAATTCGGAACCGGTAAGTGATAAGAAACAACTTTCCCCAAGGAACATAGGACGAAATACGAAAAAAAGATTTGGACCTCCCATAGTAACGGAAATCAGCTGATCACTTGCCGGTTCTAAGTTTTAGCTATCGGTCACTAGTATTTCACACTATATACGGGGTGTTAGGGACGGTGTAACGAAAACTTTGCAGGCGTGCTCAAACCATGAAACTGAACAACTTTTACTATGGAGCCAATGGTGGGAAACGAAAAAAAAATTCCGACCTTCCATACAAAGTCAGCCAGCTGATCGTGAATTTTGTATGGGAGGTCGGAAATTTTTTTTCGTTTCCCACCATTGGCTCCATAGTAAAAGTTGTTCAGTTTGATGGTCTGATCATGCCTGCAAAGTTTTCGGTACACCGTCCCTAACACCCTGTATATCACATTAAATGTGAATCACACCAAAAATATTACTTAACTTGTAAAAAGAACCAAATCTCGCCTGTCAGTTCTTCTACTGTAAAAAGGGTTGAGTTGAGATCCATCTGATGCCAAGTCGGTTATTGATTTATTCAAGGACTACTTCAGGGAAATTTCATCTTAAGCTATTGCGTAATTAGGTAACAGACATCGTCTTATAGTAACCCTATCAATATTTAAAAACTTTTACATTTACAATAACTAGAATGACCCGGCCATCGCACCAGACCATCGTATCTCACAAGCAAACAGTGTGCGATTGCCAAGTCATTCTAGTTATTGTAAATATAAAAGTTTTAAAAGTTAGCCAATAAATACGTATCTTAGTGTTTCTGCTGAGAAAATGAGTAGATTAGGGTAGGCAGAATTCTAAGCCGCTATAATCTTTGGCTTGGTACTGTAATGCTGTCAAGTCAAATATATTATACAAAGAATCCAAAATGCGGCGCGTACGGCGCTGTTGTGCTGACTAATGTGCGTGCGTTCACCTTCAAACCGTTCATACTGCTAGCGTTAGCTGTCAGTTTGATGATTTCCTATCAATTACATACTTAACTGTCTTTTTGTTATATTTTTATAAATAACTACATGAAACCGTCATTTTGTTTATACAGATTACTGACTCAACATCCGGCGATTTCAAACTGAAGATCATTGTAACTGCAGACACAGATGGGCAAGTTGAAGGTGAAGCTTCAGACATGGATCGTTTGAGTGTTTTGAAGAGTGCAAAAAACTACACTCCGAGAAATGAGAAAACAGGCTTACAATGTGAAACCAAGGAAATCAACACGAGTAACACAGGCTCAAAAACCCCAGACGCATTTAAAAAATTAAATGATATTTTATTACGTTGCAAGCTCAATAAATGCGGTGTAGGTACAGAGCAAGATACAAATCATAATTCAGGTACAAATTTTCAAAATGAATTTAAATGTACTTTGTGTAACTATACAACCAATGAAGCAGATGCGTTTGAATATCACGCTCAAGTGCACTCGAATACCACTCAATACATTTGTAACACGTGTTCGTACATAACTGTCGATAAGAAATCATTAATACGACATTTTAAATTACACACAGAGGCTTTTCCTCTTGTCCGCAAAACATGCATCAATAAAAGTTTAGTCAAACACACTGTTGAAAAGCAATTTTCTTGTAAGTTTTGTGGTAAAGTGTTTGCTCATAACAGTAAGTTAACAAACCATATCAGAATACATACTGGTGATAAACCATATGCCTGTGAGATATGTGATAAGAAGTTTGCTAAAAAATCTAATTTAACAAAGCATATCAGAACACATACCGGTGATAAGACATATTACTGTAGTATATGTGAAAAGAAGTTTACTCAAAAAATCCGTTTAATTTCTCACATTAGAATACATACTGGTGAAAAACCATATTGCTGTAAGTATTGCCATAAGAAGTTTGCTATCAAATATTATTTAACATCGCATATCAGAACACATACTGGTGAAAAACCATATGCCTGTGAGATATGTGATAAGAAGTTTGCTCATAGTGCGAATTTGAAACTTCATACCAGAATACACACTGGTGAAAAGAGATTTTTTTGCAAGTTTTGTGATAAAGAGTTTGCTCTTAGGGGTAATTTAACAAAACATATCAGAACACATACTGGTGAGAAACCATATGCCTGTGAGATATGTGATAAGAAGTTTGCTCGGAGTGCGACTTTGAAACTTCATATCAGAACACACACTGGTGAAAAGAGCTTTGCTTGTAAGTTTTGTGATAAAAAGTTTGCTCATAGCAGTAATTTAACAAACCATATCAGGACACATACTGGTGAAATGAGATTCGCTTGTAAGTTATGCGATATGAAGTTTGCACAAAGCTGTAATTTAACAACGCATATCAGGACACATACTGGTGATAAACCATATTGCTGTAAGAAATGTGATAAGAAGTTTGCTCAAAAGGGCGATTTAACTAGGCATATCACAACACACACTGGTGAAAAGAGATTTGCTTGTAAGTTTTGTGATAAAGCATTTGCTACTAGGGGTAATTTAACACAACATATCAGAACACATACTGGTGAGAAACCATATGCCTGTGAGGTATGTGATAAGAAGTTTGCTTATAGTGCGTCGTTGAAAGCTCATACCATAACACACACTGGTGAAAAGAGCTTTGCTTGTAAGTTTTGTGATAAAAAGTTTACTGATAGCAGTAATTTAACAAAGCATATTAGGACACATACTGTGATAAACCATATTCCTGTAAGATATGTGATAAGAAGTTAGCTCAAAAGAGATTTGCTTGTAATAAGTCATGTAATAAAGAGTTTGCTCATAGCGATAATTTAACACATCATATCAGAACACCTACTGGTGAGCAACCATAATATGTCTGTGAGATATGTGATAAGAAATTTGAATACCGAATTTTAAAACACTTCTCGTGTTAGGTAAACAATTTTTGGAAAACTTCCAAAATTTTCACCGCTGGCAGGATTTGAACCTGCGACCTTCAGTACTGTTGACGCCCTAACCAACTGCGCTACCGCGGTTCAAATCGAGCCCGCGAAATTATGGAAGTATATCTTGTCCTCTATTGCGTGGATGGGCTCCATCTACTGGGATAGTTTTGTTAGGGCGTCGGCAGTACTGATGCCGAAGGTCGCAGGTTCAAATCCTGCCTGCGAAAAATTTTGAAAGTTTTCCAAAGATAAGAAATTTGTTCAGAGTACGGCTTTGAAAGTTCATACCAGAAGACATACCAGAAGAAGACCCACAACACACACTGGTGAAAAGAGCTTTGCATGTAAGATTTACGATAAGAAGTTTGCTCAAAGCGGTTATTTGATACGGCATATCAAAACTCACACTGGTGAAAAGAGCTTTGCTTGTAAGTTTGCTCATAAATGTGATTCGACTACGCATATCAGAACACAAACTGGTGATAAACCATTTAGCTGTAAGATATGTGACAGATAATGATAAGAAGTTTGCTGATACTTTGTTGTTGAAACCTCACAGCCGAACACACATTGCTTTGCTTGTAAGTTTTGCGATAAATGTAATTTTCACCTCTGCAGCTTGAAAAGAGCAGATTGCCGTAGTAAAATCGATGAGGAAAAGGCATTTTCCGCACTCGATGAGGCAAAGTGACATTAATTTCGATAATTTCATTTTGAACCAAATCAGCTGTGCGTTTTGAAATTATTTGGCCGTTTTGTTCGGTTGAAAACGCGCGCTTTTGCCTTTTCTAACTGGTAGTCGAGAAAATATGTGTTTCCTACACGAAAGGAAATTAATTTTTTACCCTATTACCACCACCCAGCTGCACTACAGACCGCAATGAATTTTCAAACATACATAAATATAGGGTGTATTTTTATTAGTGGCGGATCCGTTAAGGGTGTGTTCTTTCAATGAAACTGAACAACTTTCCCCAAGGAACATAGGTCGAAATACGAAAAAAAATTTTGGTCTTCCCATACTAAGTGTGTTGGCCGGCCGGGTCAATTTGTATGGGAGGGCCAAATTTTTTTTTCATATTTCCAACTATGTTCCTTGGGGAAAGTTGTTCAGTTTCATTGACAGAACACACCCTTAACGGATCCGCCACTAATAAAAATACACCCTATATATCACGCCTTTATCCCTTGCGGGGTAGGCACGACGTTAACGGCGGGTGTAAGAACCAGTCATTTACTCCACTTCTGAGAAACGTTTCAGAAGGCTGTGTAGAGCCATAGTGACAGAGAGGAAAGATACGGGGTGATTATTTTCTTAGCCGGCATCACACGGCGATTAGAATTTTCAAACTCAAAAATATCTCTTTGTGTGTGTGTACTTCGTCGAAGTGCAATCGAAAATCTTTTAGCGCCATGAGGTCCAATACTTTAACGCGCGTCTGTTGTTTGTGATAAGGGCCTTGATTCCGTCAAACATTGAGGAAACATTTTACTTACCTTGGCAGGCCTGGCGCACTCCGCTGCGTAGGTATAGATTTACAAGTACGTGCGGCGACACCCGCGGGGAGGTTAATCAGTGGGTTGCCGCACGCCGCCGCTCGTTACGCACGCGCTCCCACGTTGCCGCTCTTAATTCTTTCTTTGTACTAAATTTACGTAAATTACGCGAAAATGAGAATAAGAAAATACTGCATTGCTTATAATTGCTTGAATAATTCTAGTGATAAAAGCCTCAAGTTCCACAAGTTACCGCGTGACATCGAAAGGTAAGAAAATAGGTACCTACATTGATTCTAGCTATGTAATAAAATTATTATTTATTATCTAGGTACCTACTACTACAACGACCTGATGAACCCTGATGTCAGAGTTTTTGAACCTATCTGCCTTCCTCCTTTAGAATTCGAAAGTGACATCCCCACTGAGCGCGCTGACTGTGACCTTCAGGACGCGCCAGCGGCAGAAGAACTTTCGCGCGCAGCCATTCGGCTCATTTTTGCTTGCGCGCGCGATGAGTAGGCTAATATAAAAGTAGGTATCCAAAGCCGGCGCGAAGGAAATTGTACTTTATTATCGCGCGTAAAGATTTATATTTGTTGAATCGCTATGGCGGAGTGCGTCTTCTGTACCTGTACTATTATGTATTCTGTGACCTTGGCTAGATGCAAGCTCGTGTTAACTCGCCGATACCTGGCTAGCCTACCTACAGAAATGGTTGTGCCTTGCATTGCATCCAGCCTTCCTTCAAACTAATTGTATGTTGTTTGTATAATAAGTGAAGAAAAAAAAGTAGGTAAGTAAAATTGTTTTGCTATATAGCGGTCTCCGAGACAGCGGGTGAATGGTTGTGTGACTAGATATTTTGTATTTGAGATATGTTGCTGTTCTAGCTTTAAAATGAATAGTAATATTAATGAAGATAAGGGTCTATTAAATTTTTGGAAAGCCTGCAAAATTTTTCACTGCAGTCCGGATTTGAACCTGCGACGTTCGGCATCTGTACTGCCGACGCCATTAGCACTACCAACTGGGCTACCGCGGTTCTATCCTAGCCTGCGAATTAAGCAAGTGTATCATGGAAACAAACGCGTGCGTACTTGTTTAATTCGGCTCGTACATAACCGCGGTAGCCCAGTTTGTTATTCCGTCGGCAGTACAGATGCCGAACGTCGCAGGTTTAAATCCGGACTGCAGTGAAAAATTTTGCAGGCTTTCCAAAAATTTAATAGACCCTTATCTTTATTAATATTACTATTCATTTTAACGCTAGAACAGTGGATTTGCAAGTTTTCCAATAATGTATCATTTTACTAGAAAGAAAGGGACGGAGCCGGCCGGGAGGGCGTGACGCTGGCTCTAAAATGGATTTTATTCTGAAATAAAATATGTAAACAACTCTATTGTTTTCTTTCATAATAATAATGGGTAACATCATTTTTGCTACTTTACCAAACGTGTTAGAATAGCAGCCGTCTGACCAAGATTTCATCATCATCTTCCTGCCCTTATCCCAATTACTTGGGGTCGGCGCAACACGTTTTGCTGAACACAACATAGTGTTGCGAAGGATTTGGCTTAATTTTACAACCGGCCGCCTACCAGACGTCAACCCTCCTTGGCAATGCTTTTGTGGTGGATTAACCGCCAACATACGGTTGGCCCCGGGCTGTTTGGGTCGGTTTTATCCCTCGTTCGCCTCTTATGACCCACACGGCTAAGTCTGCCGGCACCACAGCAGACCAAGATTTATATATACCTACGCTATAAACTGCTCCTATCGTTACAATCATGTCTTATTAGTTTATTACATTATTCGATGAGTCCAATTTAACTTTTTCAAGCTGCGCCACGCGCGGCAGACCACTGGAGCTCCTCAACCCGTACATAGCTAAAATATTCTATTACTTTGTGTGATAGGGTTGCTTCCGTTTGCTGCCCGGACTATTAGTTTTCAAGTTGCAGATATTATTATTATTTAGGTGGTCGCACATCTAGCCGTACAGCCGCACCGCACGCGCCGTTCGCGCTGAATAATACTGAAGGGGTCGCACACCTATACGCAGCCAGTGTGACCATATTAATTTGTTGTTATGATAGCTATCTCGGTTAAAATCTACAATGCAATCTACCAAAATATTTTAATATTTTATTTTGACCTATTTAGTAAGCTCCTTTTTGCTTACTAAATAGCTTAAAACCTTAAAACCTCCCAAAATCTGTAAACTTAGGTCTTAAATCTGCTAAAACTTGGCAATCGCACACTATTTGCTTGTGAGATACGATGGTCTAGTCTAGTGCGATGGCCGGGTCATTCTAGTTATTGTAAATATAAAAGTTTTTAAATATCGATATAGTTACTGTAAGATGATGTCTGTTACCTAATACGCAATAGCTTAAGATGAAAGTTCCCTGAAGTAGTCCTTGAATAAATCAATAACCGACTTGGCATCACATGGATCTCACAACTTTTTACAGTAGATGAACTGAGAGGCGAGACTTGGTTCTTTTTACAAGTAAATGTTTTTGGTGGGATCTCATTTCTTTTTGTAGATAGTCTTCCTCTTTCTCTTATCTGGAACTACTTCTTGAGCCTCAGCTACAGATTTCCTCAAAGCCCATCCGCAAAGTTAACTTTGTAATTCTATTACATTTGTATGGAAATACAAAGTTAGTTATGCAGTTGCAACCGAATTTGCAGAATGTTATAGTTTTCCCTTTATTCATACACTAAATACAAAGTGTATTCTAAGTTTCAAGCTCCTCAGTCTGCTAGAAGTACCTTAGAATTTTGATGATCGGTCAGTCAGTCAGTCAGGCAGAAAATTAAGATACTTTGACTAACTATAACTTCTAAACTACTGGTCCAAATTAAATGAAATTTGAAATGTATCGTGTCTATGCAGTGGTTGATAAGATATTTTAAAATGAGGGTTCTAAACTTATCGACAAGGGAGTTATGGGGGGGGTCAAAAATGGCCTGAACTGGTTCGAGAAAAGGATATATATAAGTACGGCCGTGCCGCTTTCAGCTCGACTTGGTGGGGGCACTGCCGTGCCCCCAGATTAGCTTAGGCTGCGGCATAGACATAGAAACGATAGACGAACATAGTGTGCAAAAGAGAAGAAAATTATTTATGGAAACTCAGTAAGATAGAAAAGAATAGCGAACCTTATGTCACTGTAACCTGTTTTGTATGACAGATCTTCCCAATTCAACCCGCTGGTTTTGAGCTAAACATTATTTTCGTATTTTTTTCAGAAATCCCGAATTATTTTTATAATTTGATTAGTGTGCCACAATAACTATGTATTCAGGATGCTAACGTGGTGCGAATCTTCACATTTACCCGGAAAACTGCACATTTTACAGGTAAATTCCCAGAAAGTCGTCTCTGGGATTACACGTGAATTTTTTGTTTAAATGTACCTTTTTTGTATGTTAAAATAATAAAATACGCAAATCCTTATGTTTACTTTCGTATTTTCGATATGTAAAAGTGTATTAGTTAGTAATTTTCATAATATTTGGGGATAAAATAATTTCGTATTTAGGCCAGTGATTGACTCCAATTTATCGACTAAGTTATCGA